AGCATTAGCTAATATAATGAAATCATTATGTATTAAGCATTAGCTAATATAATGAAATCATGATGTATTAAGCATTAGCTAATATAATGAAATCATGATGTATTAAGCATTAGCAAATATAATGAAATCATGATGTATTAAGCATTAGCAAATATAATGAAATCATGATGTATTAAGCATTAGCAAATATAATGAAATCATGATGTATTAAGCACTAGCTAATATAATGAAATCATGATGTATTAAGCATTAGCTAATATAATGAAATCATGATGTATTAAGCATTAGCAAATATAATGAAATCATGATGTATTAAGCATTAGCTAATATAATGAAATCATGATGTATTAAGCATTAGCTAAGATAATGAAATCATGATGTATTAAGCATTAGCTAATTTAAAGAAATCATTATGTATTAAGCATTAGCAAATATAATGAAATCATGATGTATTAAGCATTAGCAAATATAATGAAATCATGATGTGTTAAGCATTAGCTAATGATGAGTTCATGATTGTGTGTCATAATTTGCAGTAGACTTCCGCCATATGACTCATGACGTTCATGACGTTCATGACGTTCATGACGTTCATGAGGATCATGACGTTCATGAGGATCATGACGTTCATGACGTTCATGAGGATCATGATCGGTTGATTATTTTTTGGTCATTTCTTTGCTTTTTCAGTAAATTCATGGAATCATCATGATCATGATGTGTGTGTTTATGTCTGTGTGTGTGTGTCTCTGTGTGTCTGTGTGTGTGTGTGTGTGTCTCTGTGTGTCTGTGTGTGTGTGTGTGTCTCTGTGTGTCTGTGTGTCTCTGTGTGTCTGTGTGTGTGTGTGTCTCTGTGTGTCTGTGTGTGTGTGTGTGTCTGTGTCTGTCTGTGTGTGTCTCTGTGTGTCTGTGCGTGTGTGTGTGTGTGTGTATGTGTCTCTGTGTGTCTGTGTGTGTGTGTGTGTGTGTGTGTGTGTGTGTCTGTCTGTGTGTGTCTCTGTGTGTCTGTGTGTGTGTGTATGTGTCTCTGTGTGTCTGTGTGTGTGTGTGTGTGTGTGTGTCTGTGTCTGTCTGTGTGTGTCTCTGTGTGTCTGTGCGTGGGTGTGTGTGTCTGTGTCTGTCTGTGTGTGTCTCTGTGTGTCTGTGTGTGTGTGTGTGTGTATGTGTCTGTGTGTGTATGTGTATGTGTCTCTGTGTCTCTCTGTGTGTGTGTGTGACACATTACCAACATGTAATCATGTTAGTTCATGAGAATTCATGATCTAGTAATGCATGAATGTATCATGAACTAATGCATTAATTCATGCATTAGTTCATGAGAATCATGCATGAACTCATGTACCATTAATATAAAGTTTTATGATATTATATCAATGACTGAAGGAAACACTATAAACACTTTATACCAGCAGTACACACACACACACACAGACACACGCACACACAGACACACACACACATACACGTTTTTGTTACCTGGTGGGTCCCTTTGACAGGGCCGTTCAGAATGGGACCCATAGACATAATCTTTTTTTACCAAGACTTTAAGTAATACAAAACAGTCAATAGAAACCAAACAACTATTTTAAAGGAATTTTATTTTAGATTTTGTTTTCGAATTGCAGTGATTCTATTTTTGACATAGAATTTAATGCCACTCCATGTCCGATGTCTAAGGTCATCTGGTGAGGCATTAATGCAGGCCAGGCAGTGAGACTTCCCAGGGACCTTTCCAGTCTGTATGAAAGGTGTCATGGTCTTCCCCACAGCCTTCACCTCAGATGCAGACCATGGCTTTCTTACACGTTCTAGGGAGAGAAATAAAAATATATTAGCAATATACACTCCCAGGGTGAGGACCAAGCAGCCTGGCTGTAATCCCCCACCTGGTACACTTACCAGAAGGGGCACTGCCACTACCATGGGGTGCATCTGGATGAATGGTTGAAGGTTCTCCGCTTGAAGTTTCTTTTAGCCCGTCCGTTTGTGAGAGGATCTCTACTGCTCTCCCTGTCGCACAGAAAATAAAAATACAAGTGGCCTTTAGGGGAAAAAAATCATACATATTTTAATAATATCAAGAATTACCTTCAGGCTCAATTTGTATCTGGTCGAGGCTCTTTCCTTCGAATTCCGTCACTCTTCCCTGCTCCATGGCCATCAACACTTTGCTGATTTTGGCCAGCTCCAGTGTCCCCTCTGGTAGTCTGTAATATTGCCTGTGGATGCGAATGTCATGGCCGAGGAAGTTGGCAAGTATGTCCATCTCATTCTCTTTCATATTGAGAACTGTAGACATAGTAGCTATGTGCTTTCTAAGTTTGGTTGAGGATAGCATCTCTGGATGCACCGCACCACATTCTTTGGCTACCTGGCGTAGGGAGTCTGATCCCCTGATGTGGGTGTCTGCGCCCGGGCGGGAAAAGAAGTATGGGTTATGGTCAGAGATGGAACAGGCCCTTCTGTTCTCCACCAGCACCTCCATCGAAGCAATCATTTCAGGAGTCAAAAGAACCGGCACTTTCCGACTTCTTTTCCCTTTAATTTCAATGCGTTGAAAATGCTGACACAGCTTTTTCTCAAGTTGGGACAGTCCCAGAGCAATGTCAGAATGGATCCCAGTCTTACTTCTTAAGGTAAAGGCTGTCAGTGGCATCTTTGAAACCTCACCTTCCCTTCTTCGATTGAAAATGATGACCTCACAAAGAGTCAAAACTGCCAGTTTAGACCAATGCTTAGACGTTGGCTCACTTATTAGGGTTTGCACATATTCAGGTCGACATACCTCAATATGTGCATGCATGGCTCTAACGTCCTCAGTCAGAGGGAGCAGGTCCGGAGTGTTCCACTTGGCTTGCCGGAGGGTCTGTAGGGCAGCAGAAGAAACACAGACGTCCCACCTCTTCTCAAAAAGCAGCCGGCTTCGTTGGAGGTTTTTAATAAATAGTTCATCAACACAATGCTCCATTTTTGAGTCACATTCAAGAATATCTGCTAGCTTTCTGAGGCTATGGCCGAGTTTGAGGGCCAAGGATGGAGTCTTGTATTGATTTGTTTCCTCATCATATCCAGCCACAGACCTGACTGCATCAATCACATGGTTAAAGTTGGAAGGAATAAAGAAATCCTTCATTGTTTTCAGTTTCCCTGCGGTTTTTGCTTCGTTAATTAACCTACCGACTTCTCTCATTTTCTGCCTAATGTAATCATGCTTTGTCTTATCATGCCCGTGTTTTAAGTACAGGTGCTCTCCGAGTCTCAGAATCCCCTTTTCTGCTTTGACAACACCCGTGACCTCATCCTGATGCATTGCCGAAATTAAAGACCACAGCTTTTTGCTGATGCCCTCCGGTACAGGCTGGGCTAGGGAGCAGAGGGACTGGACCCTACTTCTACCTGGTTTAGCCTGGTTTAGCCTGGGCATCTTTCTGTGAAAGCCGGCACCTGGCCACATGCCTCCACAGCGACTTTCGCTTAAGCAATGCCCCACAGTCTATACAGTGCAAAAACTCACTGGATTTAACTGGGGAATTTGGCTGTTTAGCTGGGACTAAAGTTCCAATGCCGGCCTTTAAAACCTCAAAATTGTGCTCACGGTTTCCACTATTCCTGATCAAATCAAACTGAAGTTTACGTGCTTTAGATTTCACAGGTAGAGCCAATGCTCTGGCTACGTCACTTTCATTTCCATGTTTTCTAGTCAAATGACGGGACATTTTGTGGCAGGACATTGAACAGTAGAGGCAGAAGTGTCTCTTGCTGTATACTCGCCCCCCATTTTTCTTCTTTTGCAGCTGCATGATAACAATCTTATTTGCCTTTGGTTCGTCACTTTCCGAGTCTTGAAGAAAAGTGTTTTTGATTTTTCTTTTTCCATACTTTTTTACAGGTTTCTTCTTGACAGTTAAATCGTCAGAATCTGAGTCGACTTCATCAATTAGGGACTCTTGACTAAGCTGCACAAACAACAAATAATTTGTAATCATTCTATATAACAATTTGAAGTCATGACTTGTAGTCAGCACTTACCAGTGGTTTGTAAGCGTGCGCTTCAGTGTGCTCCTCCATGATTTCTTGCAGCCTAATGAACCACACACTTGCACCTTTTTCTAGCCTGACACCTGATTTCCTCTGTTGTGCTGCTCCATGATTGGCTCCAGCCTGCTGGACTGAAATTGCCCCAGTGTGCCCCTCCTTGATATCCCGCAACCCACCACCAGGGTTCCGACACATAACACACTTTTTTCAGGAAAGTAAACCTCCAGGGGTCCTTTCCATATTTTTACAGAGACTGCATAAGGACCGTTAGAAAAGCATTACCCATTGATTATTAAGCTTGGACCAGTGGGGTCCGGTGTTCGGGCCCCACCACGTAAAACCAGTCCCCATGACGTGAGTGGAATCTCAGGTTATGGAACCCACCAGGAGTTGAAAACAAGTGCACACACACAGACACAGACACACGCACACACATACACACACACACAGACAGACACAGACACACACACACAGACACACACATATACACACACACACACACACACACACTGGTTGTGGGTCCAGTCCCGTGGAGCAGGGGGATAATGAGGCAGAGTGGGAGGGGCCAGGCTCAGGTTTCAGCTCCACAGGGGGCGGGGCCAGACGCCTCTTTGAGAATATCCAAGATTCATTGAAGGTAGAACACAAAACTAGTGCCGAGGCCGGAGTCTGCCTGAAGTCTGTGCTGGTGCCTGGATCCTCTGCTGGTGCCTGGATCCTCTGCTGGTGCCTGGATCCTCTGCTGGTGCTTGGATCCTCTGCTGGTGCTTGTGCTGGTGCTGGTGCCTGGATCCTCTGCTGGTGCCTGGATCCTCTGCTGGTGCTTGGATCCTCTGCTGGTGCTGGTGCTGGTGCTGGTGCCTGGATCCTCTGCTGGTGCCTGGATCCTCTGCTGGTGTGAGGCGCTGTGTGGATGGTCTGAAGTGGAGAGAGTACCTCCAGGAGAAGCTTCTGGCTCAGACATGTCCCATTTTAAGGACCTCAGGACTCTGCTGCTGCTCGTGGGCTCGGTTCTGGTTCTGTCGGCGCCGGTGACGGGACAAGACGACCGTGAGTCTCATTTATATGGATTCAGTTTGAGCTTTTGTTGAAGATTTTGTAAACTCTGTCTGTGGAAAACCCTGTCTTTGAACTTGCACCTGCTCCTGGGAATGTGCCACTTTGCAGAGAACCACACACACAGCTACACACACAGCTACACACACTACACACAGCTACACACACTACACACAGCTACACACAGCTACACAAGTTTATACAGATAGTTTAGTTTTTGGTGAGAAACAGAAGTCATGACTGTGGAGTAATGTGTGAATGTCTGATTGTATATCTGTGTTTGTTTTCAAAAGATCGAGCGTGTATATGTGTGTTGGAGTGTGTATATGTGTGTTGGAGTGTGTATATGTGTGTTGGAGTGTGTACCTGTGATACCTGCCGCACAGATGCCACAGCTGCACATTCTGCCCCTGGTGATGGAGGAGGGGGCAGGGCAGATATGGCTCGGCTCAGGGGCCTTCAGTGAAAACTGTTCACATTCCATCTCTGTCAGAGGCCACTCAGGCGGATCCCGGCTTGCAGAGGTGCAGAGGTGCAGAGGTGCAGAGGTGGCTCGGGGGTGTCCCTTTTATATATATTTATCTCACTGATGGTTTTACCTCAAGGTCTAGACACATCATGGACAGGTGCAAAGAGAGAGGAGCAGAGTCCAGGCCCAGAGGTGACAGAGGGTCCGGCTCAGGCCCAGAGGAAGACAGAGGGTCCGGCTCAGGCCCAGAGGAAGACAGAGGGTCCAAGGCTCAGGTCTGCAGTCTCAGGTCTGCAGTCTCAGGTCTAGAGTCTCAGGTCTGCAGTCTCAGGTCTGCAGTCTCAGGTCTAGAGTCTCAGGTCTGCAGTCTCAGGTCTGCAGTCTCAGGTCTAGAGTCTCAGGTCTGCAGTCTCAGGTCTGCAGTCTCAGGTCTGCAGTCTCAGGTCTGCAGTCTCAGGTCTAGAGTCTCAGGTTTCTCCCTCCCAACGAGAAGGCCTCAGGAATAACACTGGCTTCTATTTTTCTAACTGGAGACAGACTCTTTCTGTCCGTGAAAGTCCTGTCGGTCCATCTGGTCTGGGAGCTGTGATAGTCTCTGTGCAGGATGAGGAGAAAAGAACTGTGGGGTTTAGATCCCGGCAGAGATCAGATGTTTTGTTGTCATTATTCTATGTTTAATATCTTAGTTTAAATCCGTCTAATTAAAGGAGAATGCATTCCGCAGCTTAAGCAGCAACACAAACAACTGTGAGCTGGTGTTTGTTTGTGCTCCTCGGGGTTTGCTCAGGGCAGCGACCCGCTCACACTCACTCACTATGTGGCCCTAAAAGACTCCATTCATGGCCGCGGCTGCCAGCTCCAGACCTGGAATTAAGCTCTAAATATTAACATTGCTAAATACAGTGAGACTCCTGTGCTCTGGACTTTCATCTTTAGTGGATCTGGACCCAGGGACCAGAGCGAGCCCTTTCCCCGGACTGGAAATAACTTTACTGTAAAAGATGAAGCCTAGTACTGTGAAGGGATTCAGAACCAGTCTCCTGTCTCTGGTCTCTCTCTGGTCTCTCTCTGGTCTCTCTCTGGTCTCTCTCTGGTCTCTCTCTGGTCTCTCTCTGGTCTCTGGTCTCTGTCTGGTCTCAGGTCTGGTCTTTGGTCTCTCTCTGGTCTCTGTCTCTCTGGTCTCTGGTCTCAGTCTGGTCTCTGTTCTCGGCCTGGTCTGGTTCCTGGTCTCTGGTCTCAGTCTGGTCTCTCTGGTCTCTGATCTTGGTCTGATCTCTCTCCGGTCTCGGCCTCTGTCTGGTCTCAGGTCTCTGGTCTTGGTCTGGTCTGGTCTGGGTTTGAACAGCCGTCTCTGTGTAAACCATCAGAACTATATTTATCCAGTGACAAACACACTTCTCTGTTCAGTGTGAACTCAGTCTCCCTCAGGTCAGAGGTCACACTGCCCCTGGAGGTCAGAGGTCACACATACACATGTATCACATGTATATGTTCATATACAGTACATTTCCATGTACATGTGTATGTACATGTGTATGTACATGTACACAGTGACTCTGTAAATAAATTGTTGTGTTTTTGCGCCACCTGCAGGTCAAAGCCAGATACTGTAAGACCGCTGAAGCTAAGCAGGGCAGGGCCTGGTTAGTACTGTGATGGGAGACCTCTGGGAACAGCAGGTGCCACAGTGGGGCAGCTGCAGAGCCAGGGCAAAGTGCTAAACTGTGGTTGTGTCCTTGGGCAAGACACTTCCCCCACATTAGAATGAGTCTGGTGTGTGTGTGAATGGTTGGTGGTGGTGGGAGGGGCCGATGGCACAGACTGGTTGCCTCGCTTCTGTCAGTGTGCCCCAGGGCAGCTGTGGCTACAGTCGTTTATCACCACCGTGTTTGGAGACAGAATAATGATGTGAAGAGACTTTGAGAGTCTGAAAAGAACTGTTTAAAACTGATGCATTATTATTATTATTATTATTATTATTATTATGTTGTGTTTTGTTGGAGTGTGATCTTATCTCTTCCTGCTGCATTATCATCATCATCAACATTTATTTTTATTTAACCAGGAAGTCCCTGGCCAAGATCATCTTGGAAACAAATAACATACATACACAAGCACCAACAACAACTCATTATTATCATCATCATCATCATCATTATCATTATTATCATCATCATCATCATCATTATCATTATTATCATCATCATCATCATCATTATCATTATTATCATCATCATCATTATTATCATCATCATCATCATTATTATCATTATTATCATCATCATCATCATCATTATCATTATTATCATCATCATCATTATTATCATCATCATCATCATCATCATTATCATTATTATCATCATCATCATCATCATTATCATTATTATCATCATCATCATCATCATAATCATAATTATCATCATCATTATAACATGTTATCATCCTGATCTGCAGTGGACTCGGGCCCGGACCCGGACCTGGACCCGGACCTGGACCCGGACTCTCTGAGCTGCTCTCAGGACGGGCAGCAGTTCAGTGACAAAGACGTGTGGAAGCCGGAGCCGTGTCGTATTTGCGTGTGCGACTCCGGCTCCGTCCTGTGCGATGACATCGTGTGTGAGGAGCTCAGGGACTGCTCCAAACCTGAAATACCATTCGGAGAGTGTTGTGCCGTCTGCGCCGCGGACCCCCGCCCCCCCGGTCACATTTATTTATATACCACATAAATAAATCTGTTTCTCAGCTTTGCTCTGAGGGTCCTGGCACTGTCTTTGAGGTCAGAGGTCAGAGGTCAGGGGGCAGAAGTTAGGGGTCAGCGGTCAGAGGTTAGGAGGTTAGGGGACAGAGGTCAGGGCGCAGAGGTTAGGGGTCAGATGTTAGGGGTCAGAGGTAAGAGGTTAGGGGTCAGCAGTCAGAGGTTAGGAGGTTAGGGGTCAGAGGTCAGGGCGCAGGGGTCAGATGTTAGGGGTCAGAGGTAAGAGGTTAGGAGGTTAGGGGTCAGAGGTCAGGGCGCAGGGGGCAGAGGTTAGGGGTCAGATGTTAGGGGTCAGAGGTAAGAGGTTAGGAGGTTAGGGGTCAGAGGTTAGGAGATTAGGGGTCAGAGGTCAGGGCGCAGAGGTTAGGGGTCAGAGGTAAGAGGTTAGGAGGTTAGGGGTCAGAGGTTAGGAGATTAGGGGTCAGAGGTCAGGGCGCAGAGGTTAGGGGTCAGAGGTTAGGGGCTGAAAGCTGAAGGTTGAAGGCAAAAAACTGTTTAGAGCCAAGAAACAATGAGATTGTTTGATACATAGTTTGATTCTTCTGCGGTTAAAAATTTAGGACCCTGAGCTTTAACGTGTGTGTGTGTGTATATATATATATATGTATCTACATATATGTATATTTATTAAGTAAAGGTTTAAAAATCCTCTGAATCAAACAAAGACAGAATCCTCAAAGCAAACATCTGAACTACAGCTCTGGCACTTCACAAGTTTCAGTCTCATGCCTCCTCCCCCCCTACCTTCTTCCTCCTCCCCCTTCCCCCCTCCCCCCCCACCTCCTTATACCATACGGGGTGTACCCCCGGGTTTCCTTCGGCCCCATCTTGTTTGAATCCTGGTCGATGAAACCATGTGGGAATGATTAAGGAAATACCAGCCCCACATGTCTCAGGCGCTATACGTTTTAATCTGACCCACAATGCACTCCTCTGTCTGAGAAAGTGGGAGGAGCATGACTGAAATCTGAAGTGTCACAGCTGCCTCTGTCTTCATCTACGCTTCATCTACGCTTCATCTACGCTTCATCTACGCTTCATCTACGCCTTTAACCACACATTTATGTTTTAATCACACATTTATGTTTTAATCACACATTTATGTTTTAATCACACATTTATGTTTTAACCACACATTTATGTTTTAATCACACATTTATGTTTTAATCACACATTTATGTTTTAATCACACATTTATGTTTTAATCACACATTTATGTTTTAATCACACATTTATGTTTTAACCACACATTTATGTTTTAATCACACATTTATGTTTTAATCACACATTTATGTTTTAATCACACATTTATGTTTTAACCACACATTTATGTTTTAATCACACATTTATGTTTTAACCACACATTTATGTTTTAATCACACATTTATGTTTTAATCACACATTTATGTTTTAATCACACATTTATGTTTTAATCACACATTTATGTTTTAATCACACATTTATGTTTTATTACGCACTCCTCAGACTCTCATTGGTCACTTTTAAACCAATGAAAAGAAGCAAAGCCAAAGACACACAAGAATGAGACTTAAAGGGGATGTTTTATGCAAAATAAACTTTAATTTTTACTGCATTTAAACATCCTCCCTTTGTTTTTAGACACGCCCAGATCCATGTAGCCCCGCCCCTTCTGTGTAAATATTAAAGGCACAGTTCTGTGATACTATGACGTCTCTGTCTGTAGCTTTCAGAGCCCTTTAAAACAAAAGTGTTGCTCTTAAATGTCCCACAGAAAAATGTCAGTGTTGCAGCATCAGGTACAGAGCAGTTCATTATTGATTCTTCAGTATTTTGGCCTTCATACTTGTTTCACCCAATATTTTACTCTGAGATTATGTCAGATTCTAAAACATGAGATGACAAAGTAAATAGTCTCATGATGATGTTAAAGGCCCAGAGCGATGCATAACATGTCTTCTTTAAATAAAGCCTCGTATATCTGTGTTTTACTTCTGTCCTATTTACTCTAGTCACAATCTAGTCACAAAAAGTTTGCTAACGTGCTAATATGCTACCGTGCTAACGTGCTAATATGCTAATACAATAAATTGCTAACATGCCACTGTGCTAATCTCATTCCTTTGCTGGAGCTGCTTTTTCTAATATTTGAGATGGAATTATTAAACACTAAAACGAATGGTTATTTAAGTTCAGCACGATGCCTGACTGTCACAGACTGTCACAGACTGTAAAAGACTGTCACAGACTGTAAAAGACTGTCACAGACTGTAAAATACTGTCACAGACTGTCACAGACTGTAAAAGACTGTCACAGACTGTAAAATACTGTCACAGACTGTCACAGACTGTAAAAGACTGTCACAGACTGTCACAGACTGTAAAATACTGTCACAGACTGTAAAAGACTGTCACAGACTGTAAAATACTGTCACAGACTGTAAAAGACTGTCACAGACTGTAAAAGACTGTCACAGACTGTAAAAGACTGTCACAGACTGTAAAATACTGTCACAGACTGTCACAGACTGTAAAAGACTGTCACAGACTGTCACAGACTGTAAAAGACTGTCACAGACTGTCACAGACTGTAAAATACTGTCACAGACTGTCACAGACTGTAAAATACTGTCACAGACTGTAAAAGACTGTCACAGACTGTAAAAGACTGTCACAGACTGTAAAAGACTGTCACAGACTGTAAAAGACTGTCACAGACTGTAAAAGACTGTCACAGACTGTAAAATACTGTCACAGACTGTCACAGACTGTCACAGACTGTAAAATACTGTCACAGACTGTCACAGACTGTAAAAGACTGTCACAGACTGTAAAATATTGTCACAGACTGTCACAGACTGTAAAAGACTGTCACAGACTGTAAAAGACTGTCACAGACTGTCACGGACTGTCACAGACTGTAAAATACTGTCACAGACTGTCACAGACTGTAAAATACTGTCACAGACTGTAAAATACTGTCACAGACTGTAAAATACTGTCACAGACTGTCACAGACTGTAAAATACTGTCACAGACTGTCACAGACTGTCACAGACGTAAACAGATGTAAACAAACCTCTTCACGGTCTTTTGTTTGTGACTAACTGTTTCTCTGTCTCTGCAGGAGTCCCAGGGGCCAAGGTCAGTACTGTGTCTGTGACCCTCTGTCTGTGACCCTGTGTTTGTCTGTGACCCTCTGCCTGTGACCCTGTGTCTGTGACCCTGTGTTTGTCTGTGACCCTCTGTCTGTGACCCTTTGTCTGTGACCCTCTGTCTGTGACCCTCTATCTGTGATCCTCTGTCTGTAACCCTGTGCCTGTGACCCTGTGTCTGTGACCTCTGTCTGTGACCCTCTGTCTGTGACCTTTTGTCTGAGACCCTCTGTCTGTGCCCCTGTGTCTGTGACCCCGTATCTGTGACCCTGTGTCTGTGACCTTCTGTCTGTAACCCTGTTTCTGTGACCCTCTGTCTGTGACCCTGTGTCTGTGACCCCGTGTCTGTGACCCTGTGTCTGTGACCCTCTGTCTGTGACCCTCTGTCTGTGACCCTGTGTCTGTGACCCTCTGTCTGTGACCCTCTGCCTGTGACCCTGTGTCTGTGACCCTCTGTCTGTGACCCTGTGTCTGTGACCCTGTGCCTGTGACCCTGTATCTGTGACCCTCTGTCTGTGACCCTCTGTCTGTGACCCTCTGTCTGTGACCCTGTGTCTGTGACTCTCTGTCTGTGAACCTCTGTCTGTGACCCTCTGTCTGTGACCCTCTGTCTGTGACCCTGTGTCTGTGACCCTCTGTCTGTGACCCTCTGTCTGTGACCCTGTATCTGTGACCCTCTGTCTGTGACCCTGTGTCTGTGACCCTGTGTCTGTGACTCTCTGTCTGTGACCCTCTGTCTGTGACCCTCTGTCTGTGATCCTGTGTCTGTGACCCTGTGTCTGTGACCCTGTGTCTGTGACTCTCTGTCTGTGACCCTCTGTCTGTGACCCTCTGTCTGTGATCCTGTGTCTGTGATCCTGTGTCTGTGATCCTGTGTCTGTGATCCTGTGTCTGTGACCCTGTGTCTGTGATCCTGTGTCTGTGATCCTGTGTCTGTGATCCTGTGTCTGTGACCCTCTGTCTGTGACCCTCTGTCTGTGACCCTCTGTCTCTGACCCTCTGTCTGTGATCCTCTGTCTGTGACCCTGTGACCCTGTGTCTGTGACCCTCTGTCTGTGACCCTGTGTATGTGACCCTCTGTCTGTGTCCCTGTGTCTGTGACCCTGTGTCTGTGAACCTCTGTCTGTGACCCTGGGTCTGTGGCCCTGTGTCTGTGACCCTCTGTCTATGACTCTCTGTCTGTGACCCTCTGTGTGTGACCCTCTGTCTGTGATCCTGTGTCTGTGATCCCGTGTCTGTGATCCTGTGTCTTTGATCCTGTGTCTGTGACCCTGTGTCTGTGATCCTGTGTCTGTGATCCTGTGTCTGTGATCCTGTGCCTGTGTCTGTGATCCTGCATCTGTGATCCTGTGTCTGTGATCCTGTGTCTGTGACCCTGTGTCTGTGATCCTGTGTCTGTGATCCTGTGTCTGTGATCCTGTGCCTGTGTCTGTGATCCTGCATCTGTGATCCTGTGTCTGTGATCCTGTGTCTGTGACTCTGTGTCTGTGTTTCTTCCACAGGGACAGAAAGGAGAACCCGGAGACATCACTGATGTTAGTGACATCTTTAATCTCATGTCATGGAAACGTGTATGTTATAAAAACAGGTGTATACAGGTGCAGACAGATACAGGTGCAGACAGGTGTAGGTGCAGATAGGTGTAGGTGCAGACAGATACAGGTGCAGACAGGTGTAGGTGCAGACAGATAAAGGTGCAGACAGATACAGGTGCAGACATATACAAGTTCAGGACTTTGTGTAGAGTTGTATTAAAACTGTCTATATATATATATATATATATATATATATATATATATATATATATATATTGTATATATACACAGACCACAGACCAAATGTGTGTCTATAGTTGTGTAAAAACAATGCAGCACAAACTGAAAGAGGAAGTGGTCCTGAACCAAAGCAGGAAATGTGTTGTTTTTCTGCTTCAGTTTTGTTTCTGATGAAAGAGATTTAGATTCAAATAAACTCATTCTTCTGTTTTTTATGACCCTCGAAAACAAGATGGTACATTCCATTCATAAACCAAACCAAACTAAACTAAACCAAACTAAACTAAACTAAACTAAACTACTTAAACATGTTGTTTTTCTGGTGCAGGTGGTAGGACCCCGAGGACCAGCTGGGCCCATGGTACGTACTGATCCACCTGAGAGTCCTACAGACCTACAGTATTGACCTACTGACCTACAGTACAGACCTCCAGTAGAGACCTACAGTACTGACCTAGAGACCTACAGTACTGACCTACAGTATTGACCTACTGACCTACAGTACTGACCTACAGCACAGACCTCCAGTAGAGACCTACAGTACTGACCTACAGTATTGACCTACTGACCTACAGTACTGACCTACATTAGAGACCTAGAGTACTGACCTACAGTATTGACCTACTGACCTACAGTACAGACCTACAGTACTGACCTACAGTATTGACCTACTGACCTACAGTACTGACCTACAGTACAGGCCTACAGTACAGACCTACAGTACTGACCCACTGACCTACAGTACAGACCTACAGTACTGACCTACATTAGAGACCTAGAGTACTGACCTACAGTATTGACCTACTGACCTACAGTACAGACCTACAGTACTGACCTACAGTATTGACCTACTGACCTACAGTACTGACCTACAGTACAGGCCTACATTAGAGACCTAGAGTACTGACCTACAGTATTGACCTACTGACCTACAGTACTGACCTACAGTATTGACCTACTGACCTACAGTACAGACCTACAGTACTGACCTACAGTATTGACCTACTGACCTACAGTACAGACCTACATTAGAGACCTAGAGTACTGACCTACAGTATTGACCTACTGACCTACAGTACAGACCTACAGTACTGACCTACAGTATTGACCTACTGACCTACAGTACTGATCTACAGTACTGACCTACAGTATTGACCTACTGACCTACAGTACTGACCTACAGTACAGGCCTACAGTACAGACCTACAGTACTGACCCACTGACCTACAGTACAGACCTAAACACCTACAGTACTGACTTACTGATATACGGTACAGACTTACAGAACTGACCTACAGACCTACAGTACTGACCTACAGACCTAATGTAGGTCTGTACTGAACTACAATACTGACTTAGAGACCTATAGTACAGACCTACAGAACTGACCTACAGACCTACAGTACATACCTACAGTGCTGACCTACAGACCTACAGTACAGACCTAGAGTACTGACCTACAGTACAGTCCTTCAGTACTGACCTACAGTACAGACCTACAGTACTGACCTACAGTACAGACCTAGAGTACTGACCTAGAGTACTGACCTACAGGACTGACCTACAGGACTGACCTACAGTACTGACCTACAGTCCTACAGTACTGACCTACAGTACTGAGCTACAGACCTACAGTACTGACCTACAGACCTACAGTACTGACCTACAGTACAGAACTACAGTACAAACCTATAGTACAGACCGACAGTACAGACTTACAGTACAGCTTGCAGACCTATAGTCCGACTGACGGATGTTACAGACAGATTTTACAGACAGATGCTACAGACAGATGATACAGACAGATGGTACAGACAGATGCTACAGACAGATGGTACAGACAGATGGTACAGACAAATGGTACAGACAAATGGTACAGACAGATAGTACAGACAAATGGTACAGACAGATGGTACAGACACATGGTACAGACAAATGGTACAGACAGATGATACAGACAGATGGTACAGACAAATGGTACAGACAGATGGTACAGACAGATGGTACAGACAAATGGTACAGACAGATAGTACAGACAGATGGTACAGACAAATGGTACAGACAGATAGTACAGACAAATGGTACAGACAGATGATACAGACAGATGGTACAGACAGATGATACAGACAGATGGTACAGACAGATGCTACAGACAGATGATACAGACAGATGGTACAGACAGATGATACAGACAGATGGTACAGACAGATGGTACAGACAGATGGTACAGACAAATGGTACAGACAGATGGTACAGACAGATGGTACAGACAAATGGTACAGACAGATAGTACAGACAGATGGTACAGACAAATGGTACAGACAAATGGTACAGACAAATGGTACAGACAGATGGTACAGACAGATGGTACAGACAAATGGTACAGACAAATGGTACAGACAGATGGTACAGACAGATGGTACAGACAAATGGTACAGACAGATGGTACAGACAAATGGTACAGACAAATGGTACAGACAGATGGTACAGACAAATGGTACAGACAGATGGTACAGTCTGTGTCTTTGATCCAGGGCCCTCCTGGAGAACAAGGCCCTCGAGGATCAAGAGGAGATAAAGGAGAGAAGGTGAGACGTCCCCATGACACAGATGAATGTGTATGAGTGTATGAGTGTGTGAGTGTGCGTGTGTGTGTGTGTTAGTGTGTGTGTGAGAGTGTTGTTGTGTGTTAGTGTGTAATTGTGTGTGTTGGTGTGTGTGAGTGTGTGTTGGTGTGCGTTGGTGTGTGTTGAAGACTGTTGCGACTGAAACAAGTGAAAGAAACACATTTATCACTTTACTTTAGCACTTTATAAACACAGAAGATTAAAGGTTTAGAGTTTGTCGTTTCAAAGTGACTTTGTGTTTGTGACGAAACATCAAAGAAAAAACACTTCCTCGCACCTGGTCCTCGCACCATGTGACAAACTGTGACAAACTGAGACAAACTGTCACAGACTGTAACAGACTGTAACAAACATGAGTTAAAACAGAATCACAGACACAGGTCTGTGGGGAATGAGCAGCCTATTCTTCTTTACAAAACATCTCTGAGAGCGTTCATGTCCACTCCAGTGAAGGAGGTTCCTGTGTCTGGGTCCGTCCACAGCAGGATGCTGCCCCCTCCTGGGCTCATGATGCTCTCAGACTTTATGTTTGACTTAAAGCTATTTAGACTTTATGATGTTGTTTAGTGACATCAGAGACTCAGCTCTAACTCATGCTCTGTGACTCTGTGTCTCTGTGTGACTCTGTGTCTCTGTGTGTCTCTGTGTGACTCTGTGTCTCTGTGACTCTGTGTCTCTGTGTGACTGTGTTTCTGTGTGACTCTGTGTGACTCTGTGTCTCTGTGTGACTCTGTGTGTCTCTGTGTGACTCTGTGTCTCTGTGTGACTCTGTGTCTCTGTGTGACTCTGTGTGACTCTGTGTGACTCTGTGTCTCTGTGACTCTGTGTCTCTGTGAGACTCTGTGTGTCTTTGTGTGACTCTGTGTGTCTCTGTGTGACTCTGTGTCTCTGTGTGACTCTGTGTCTCTGTGTGACTCTGTGTGACTCTGTGTGACTCTGTGTCTCTGTGACTCTGTGTCTCTGTGAGACTCTGTGTGTCTCTGTGTGTCTCTGTGTGACTCTGTGTCTCTGTGTGACTCTGTATGTCTCTGTGTGCCTCAGTTTCCACAGAGGTGCAGTTGTGTCTGAAGTAGTTACTTTAGACTGAGACCAGCCCTGACTTTGTGTTTTGTGTGTTTGTTTGTTTGTGTGCTTTGTGTGTTTGTGTGTTTGTGTGTTTGTGTGCTTTGTGTTTTTTGTGTGTTTGTGTGTTTGTGTGTTTTGTGTGTTTGTGTGTTTGTGTGTTTTGTGTGTTTGTGTGTTTGTGTGTTTGTGTGCTTTGTGTGCTTTGTGTTTTTTGTGTGTTTTGTGTGTTTTGTGTGTTTCGTGTGTTTGTGTGTTTCTTGTGTTTCTTGTGTTTCGTGTGTTTCGTGTGTTTTGTGTGTTTTGTGTGTTTCTTGTGTGTTTGTGTGTTTTGTGTGTTTCTTGTGTGTTTGTGTGTTTTGTGTGTTTCTTGTGTGTTTGTGTGTTTTGTGTATTTCTTGTGTTTCGTGTGTTTTGTGTGTTTGGGTGTTTTGTGTGTTTCTTGTGTGTTTGTGTGTTTTGTGTGTTTCTTGTGTGTTTGTGTGTTTGGTGTTGTAGCAGCAGAAGTGTGTAATAATGACCTTTGTTGGTTTTAGGGGAGCCCTGGTCCTCGAGGGAGAGATGGTGAACCTGGGACCCCCGGGAACCCTGGTCCTCCTGGACCCCCTGGACCTAACGGACCTCCTGGACTCGGAGGGGTGAGTTCACCTCAGTGAACCCTGACCCTGGACACCCCTGAACCCTGACCCTGTGACCCCTGACCCTGTTGACCCCTGACCCTGGAGACCCCTGACCCTGTGGACCCCTGACCCTGGAGACCCCAGACCCTGGAAACCCCTGACCCTGTTGACCCCTGACCCTGTTAACCTCTGACCCTGGAGACCTCTGACCCCTGACCCTGTTAACCCCTGACCCTGGAGACCCCTGACCCTGAAGACCCTTGACCCTGGAGACCCCTGACCCCAGGGACAGGGCCTTCTCTATAAACTACAATGTATGAAAAACAACACACTTTCTACACATGTGCTGCTCGTCTGTAGTTGATGGTTCTCTCTCCTCCACAGACCCTGGTGCCTCAGATGGTTCTGTAGTTGATGGTTCTGTGGTTGATGGTTCTGTAGTTGATGGTTCTGTGGTTGATGGTTCTTAGTTGATGGTTCTGTAGTTGATAGTTCTTTGGTTGAAGGTTCTCTCTGCTCCACATAACCTGGCGGCGCAGATGGTTCTGTGGTTGATGGTTCTGTAGTTGATGGTTCTGTAGTTGATGGTTCTTTAGTTGATGGCTCTCTCTGCTCCACAGAACCTGGCGGCGCAGATGGCTCTGTAGTTGATGGTTCTGTGGTTGATGGTTCTCTCTGCTCCACAGAACCTGGCGGCGCAGATGGTTCTGTAGTTGATGGTTCTGTGGTTGATGGTTCTGTAGTTGATGGTTCTCTCTGCCCCACAGAACCTGGCGGTTCAGATGGATCTGTAGTTGATGGTTCTGTAGCTTATGGTTCTCTCTGCTCCATAGAACCTGGCGGCGCAGATTGTTCTGTAGTTGATGGTTCACTCTGCTCCACTGAACCTGGAGGCGCAGATGGTTATGTGGTTGATGGTTCTGTAGTTGATGGTTCTGTAATTGATTGATGGTTCGGTAGTTGATGGTTCTGTAGTTGATGGTTTGGTAGTTGATGGTTCTGTAGTTGATGGTTCTGTGGTTGATGGTTCTGTAGTTGATGGTTCTCTCTGCTCCACAGAACCTGGCGGAGCAGATGGTTCTGTGGTTGATGGTTCTGTAGTTGATGGTTCTCTCCGCTCCACATAACCTGGGGCCACAGATGGTTCTGTAGTTGATGGTTCTGTGGTTGATGGTTCTGTAGTTGATGGTTCTCTCTGTTCCACAGAACCTGGCGGCGCAGATGGTTCTGTGGTTGATGGTTCTTTAGTTGATGGTTCTCTCTGCTCCACAGAACCTGGCGGCGCAGATGGTTCTGTAGTTGATGGTTCTGTGGTTGATGGTTCTTTAGTTGATGGTTCTCTCTGCTCCACAGAACCTGGCGGCGCAGATGGTTCTGTAGTTGATGGTTCTGTGGTTGATGGTTCTGTAGTTGATGGTTCTGTGGTTGATGGTTCTGTAGTTGATGGTTCTCTCTGCCCCACAGAACCTGGCGGCGCAGATGGTTCTGTAGTTGATGGTTTTGTGGTTGATGGTTCTTTAGTTGATGGTTCTCTCTGCTCCACAGAACCTGGCGGCGCAGATGGTTCTGTAGTTGATGGTTTTGTGGTTGATGGTTCTTTAGTTGACGGTTCTCTTTGCTCCACAGAACCTGGCGGCGCAGATGGTTCTGTAGTTGATGGTTCTGTGGTTGATGGTTCTTTAGTTGATGGTTCGCTCTGCCCCACAGAACCTGGCGGCACAGATGGTTCTGTAGTTGATGGTTCTGTGGTTGATGGTTCTCTCTGCCCCACAGAACCTGGCGGCGCAGATGGTTCTGTAGTTGATGGTTCTTTAGTTGATGGTTCTCTCTGCTCCACAGAACATGGCGGCGCAGATGGTTCTGTGGTTGATGGTTCTGTAGTTGATGGTTCTGTGGTTGATGGTTCTTTAGTTGATGGTTCTCTCTGCCCCACAGAACCTGGCAGCGCAGATGGTTCTGTAGTTGATGGTTCTGTGGTTGATGGTTCTTTAGTTGATGGTTCTCTCTGCCCCACAGAACCTGGCGGCGCAGATGGTTCTGTGGTTGATGGTTCTGTAGTTGATGGTTCTCTCTGCTCCACAGAACCAGGCGGCGCAGATGGTTCTGTGGTTGATGGTTCTGTAGTTGATGGTTCTGTGGTTGATGGTTCTTTAGTTGATGGTTCTCTCTGCCCCACAGAACCTGGCGGAGCAGATGGTTCTGTAGTTGATGGTTCTGTGGTTGATGGTTCTTTAGTTGATGGTTCTCTCTGCCCCACAGAACCTGGCGGCGCAGATGGTTCTGTAGTTGATGGTTCTCTCTGCTCCACAGAACCTGGCAGCGCAGATGGTTCTGTGGTTGATGGTTCTGTGGTTGATGGTTCTGTGGTTGATGGTTCTCTCTGCCCCACAGAACCTGGCGGCGCAGATGGTTCTGTAGTTGATGGTTCCTTAGTTGATGGTTCTTCAGTTGATGGTTCTCTCTGCCCCACAGAACCTGGCGGCGCAGATGGTTCTGTAGTTGATGGTTCCTTAGTTGATGGTTCAGTGGTTGGACTCTAGTCTGGACTCTATTCTAGACTCTAGTCTAAACTCTAATCTGGACTCTAGTGTGGACTCTAGTGTGGACTCTAGTTTGGACTCTAATCTAGACTCTAGTCTGGACTCTATTCTAGACTCTAGTCTAAACTCTAATCTGGACTCTAGTCTGGACTCTAGTGTGGACTCTAGTTTGGACTCTAATCTAGACTCTAGTCTGGACTCTAGTCTGGACTCTAGTGTGGACTCTAGTTTGGACTCTAATCTAGACTCTAGTCTGGACTCTAGTCTGGACTCTAATCTAGACTCTAGTCTGGACTCTAGTCTTGACTCTAGTCTAGACTGTAACCTAAAGAGTTGGACTATAAAGTCCTAAAGTGTAAAAGTGTCTGTGTGTGTTCAGGGCTCCGCAGGAGAGAGAGGAGAGCAGGGTCAGCCGGGCCCACATGGTTTCCAGGTGAGTGTAGTATCAAACTATAAAACTGTAGACCCACATGGTTTCCAGGTGAGTGTAGTATCAAACTATAAAACTGTAGACCCACATGGTTTCCAGGTGAGTGTAATAAAAACTATAAAACTGTAGACCCACATGGTTTCCAGGTGAGTGTAGTATCAAACTATAAAACTGTAGACCCACATGGTTTCCAGGTGAGTGTAATAAAAACTATAAAACTGTAGACCCACATGGTTTCCAGGTGAGTGTAGTATCAAACTATAAAACTGTAGACCCACATGGTTTCCAGGTGAGTGTAATAAAAACTATAAAACTGTAGACCCACATGGTTTCCAGGTGAGTGTAATAAAAACTATAAAACTGTAGACCCACATGGTTTCCAGGTGAGTGTAGTAAAAACTATAAAACTGTAGAGCTTTGATCTGTGCTGTTGGAACAAGATAAACTAATTTTATCTCTCTGTTCACAGGGTCTCCCCGGACCCCCAGGCCCACCTGGTGAAGGCGGGAAACCAGGAGACCAGGTTTGTGACGAGTTAGTCCTGATGAGTTAGTCCTGACAAGTTATGGTTCTAACTCTGTTGATGGTTTTAGGGAGTTCCTGGAGAAGCTGGAGCTGCTGGAGCCACGGGACCCAGAGTAAGTATCAGTAATCATCAGTAATCATCAGTAATAATTAGTAATCATCAGTAATCATCAATAATCATCTTTAATAATCAGTAATCATCATTAATAGGTAAGGGATAACGTATATTACGCAGGTCATTATCAGAGAATAAGTACCTTCAGGGTACTTATTTTCCGATAATGACCTGCGTAATATACGTTATCCCGCTTATTATACGGCTTTATACCAACAGAACACACAACATAAACTTCAGTCCACTTTTAGGAATGCCCAAAGGTTTATTTAATGACAGAAAATAAAATAGTTCCCAAAGGCTTTCCCGTGGCTATGCTAGCAGCACTTAGGCTAGCAACTTCCAAACTAGAACTCTCTGGAACTGCATGAAAACTGAACACAGAATCCTGAACATCAGCGGTGAGTGACCCAAACATAAACTTAACCTAAATCCATAATTCCATCCTCTGCAAATGTTCCCAAAATGTGCCGGTATCTTAAAATGTGCCGGTATCTTAAAATGTGCCGGTATCTACTTTTGGGGTTTTTCGGGATCGCCTTTTCTCGCATTACTTCAGTGTTTTTGTCATAAAAACGTAAACAGAAAATTCTGAAAACTTCTGTGCACTTGTATTAAGAATGTATATGTTTAATGTATTCTCCAATTAACATTTAATGGCGTTGATTGATTGGCATTTGCGTTTATTGAGCGTGGCTAGCTCCGGAGAGACCGGAACTACTTGCGGAGTTATCCGCGCATCTGAAAGACAAGGAGAGAGTGCGTTGCCAAAGGGCAGCGGTCATTATTGTTTTGAGAGGTCCGTTATAGAAAATAATGACCGGTAGAACGTTTTGAAATTACATTCAAATAAATGGAGCGTTCTCCTGCTGCTGTGAGGAGCGTGTGATAATCTGTGATAATCTGTGATAATCTGTGTAATCTGTAATTTCTGATGCTGTGCAGGGAGAGCGAGGCTTTCCTGGAGAGAGAGGTGCAGCTGGACCACAGGGTCTGCAGGGGCCCCGAGGTCTGCCTGGGACCCCTGGGATTGACGGCCCAAAGGTAGGACCCAAACTGGACTTGTTCTTAGCTCCATCTATGCTAATGTCTGCAGACCAACCCTTCTGTCTCAGTCCAATTATCAAACTCAGTCCTTTGGCTGTGACATCACAGAGAGAGCAGTGATGTCACACTAAAGTATAACTGTACCGGTAAATAAGTAAGTAAGTAAGTAAGTAAGCTTTATTTATATACCGCCTTTTCACTGCAGATCTGAGTCTCAAAGCGGTTTACAATTGTTATTTTTTGGGCATTAGTCTCTCACTCCACACAGAGATGGGAGCGGGGCCAGTACAGGAGGCGCATGCCAGAACTATTGTACATATTTTTAGTGGTAGGGGAAACCGGAGTACCCGGAGGAAACCTACGCAGACACGGGGAGAACATGCAAACTCCACTCAGAAAGGCCCGGGTCCGGCCGGGATTCGAACCCAGGACCTTCTTGCTGAGAGGCGAGAGTGCTATCCACTCAGCCACCGTGCCGTCGGTAAATAAGTACCGACAGCGCAGCGGACTTGCACAGAGCGGCACTCCTCTCTCCTCTCTCCTCTCTCTCCTCTCTCTCCTCTCTCCTCCTCTCTCTCTCTCCCTCTCTCACTCCTCTCTACACCTCCCTCTCTCCTCTCTCCTCAACCAAACCACACACACCACTCTCCTCTCTCTCTCTCTCCTCCTCTCCTCTCTCTCTCAATCTCTCACCACACACACAACACACACACACAACACAACAAACAACAACAACACCAACACACAACCACAACCACAACACACACCAACACCACAACACACAACACAAACAATAAACAACAAAAAAACACACACAAACACAAAAAACAAAAACCACACAACAACCACAAAAAACACAACAAAACAACCACAAACAAAAAACACACAAACAAAACCAAAAACACCAAACAACACAAAAACAACAAACACAAACACAAAACACAAAAAACAAACAAAAACACAACAACAAAAACACAACACCAAAAACACAAAACCACAACAACAAACAACAAAAAACACAAACCAAACAACACAAAAACAACAAAACAAAAACAACAAACCAAACACCAACAAAAACAACACAAACAACAAAAAACAAAACACAAAAAACACACAAAAACAACAACAACAAAACAACAAACAAAACACACAACAAACAACACAAAAAAACAACAAAAAACACAACAAAAACAAACAAAACACAAAACACCAACAAAAACAACACAAACAACAAAAAACCAACAACAAAAACACAAACAACAAACACAACAAAACAAAAACACAAACAACACCCAACAAACAAAAACAAACCACACAAACACAACACAAACCACAAACAACACAAAACAACAACAAAAAAAACAACACACCAAAACAAAACAAACAAAAACAAACCACACAACAAACCAACAAAACACCACAACAACCAACAACAAACAAACACCAACAAAAACCACAAACAAAACAAAACAACACAAACACACAAACAACACAACACAACAAAACAACCCAACAACACAAAAACAAACAAACAAAAACACACACAAACCAAAACACACAAACAACACCACAACCAACCCAAAACAACACACCAAAACAACAAAAACAAACAAAAACAACAACACCCAACAACACAAAAACCAACAAAAACACAACACAAACAAACACCAAAACAACAAACACCACAACAACACCCAAAACACAAACAAAACACAACAAACACCAACACACAAAACAAACAAAACACAACCACCCAAACACAAACAAACACAACAACACAAACCAAAACCACAAACAAAAAAAACAAAACAACAACAACAACAAACAACACACAAAACAAACAACAACAACACAACCAAAAAACAAAAACACACAAACAAAACACCACAAACACACCAAAACCACAACAACCCACACAACAACAAAACAACCAAAACACAACAAAACACAAAAACAACACAAAACAAACCACAAACAACAACACAAACAAACAACAAAAACACCAACAAAAACACAACAAAAACACCACAAACACAACAAACACAAACACACAAACAAAACCACAACAAACAATATCCAAACAACA